ATGTCCACATCTGAGGGCAGAGTCTCAGCATCTTCATCTTAGTTTTCCTTATGTCCACATCTGAGGGCAGAGTCTCAGCATCCTCATCTTAGTATTCCTTATGTCCATATCTGAGGGCAGAGTCTCAGCATCTTCATCTTAATATTCCTTATGTCCACATCTGAGGGCAGAGTCTCAGCATCTTCATCTTAGTTTTCCTTATGTCCACATCTGAGGGCAGAGTCTCAGCATCTTCATCTTAGTATTCCTTATGTCCATATCTGAAGACAGAGTCTCAGCATCTTCATCTTAGTATTCCTTATGTGGACAGAGTCTCAGCATCTTCATCTTAATATTCCTTATGACCACATCTGAGGGCAGAGTCTCAGCTTCATTTTAGTATTGCTTATGTCTTCTTTCCTTGGTTTCTTCTGCCTTTCAGGAAGAGGAGGATGATGTTCCTGAGGATGATGGGGACACACAGGCTGACTTTACTGTGAAAGTAAAGCCCAAGATTGACGTGTTGAGCCTTCTGGGCCACTTCGACAGTGAAGCTGGGGGCGTCATCTGGGCTGTTGATAAGCTCTCCTGCTCTGAGGACATCAGGGACGGTCAGCTGCCCAGTGTAAACCGCACCACCATGTGAGTCAGAAGCTGCCATAGCCTGTCAGGATGGAACATCATGACTATGTCAGTCGGGAGTTATAGTGACTTTTCCAGACTGTACCACTGCACCACGTATGGTACAACTATGGTACAACCACATGATGAAGTATCAGAAAAATACAGTACAGGTTTCACTGTGCAGTTTTGTGGGATATAACATCTGGGGACCTATTGCATAAAAGTTCCGATATTCTCCTGGACACTCTGACATGTTCCTTTTCCAGGAGGAGTCCTTGTGCAGCTTTCAGATGCTCTGAGCACCTGTGATTGTGATGAGGTATCATTTCTGAAGCTTTTCTCCCCAGGCCTGAGCTTGTGGAGCAGCTTCAGGAAGCCCGAGATGAGAAAAGGAGAGTTCGGCAGAAACTGCGAGAATTTGAAGAAGCCTTTTTCAGGCTAAATGGAAGGTGAGATGCATGCTTTTCAGAAACGTCACCATCCATTGGTTTTCCTCAATTATCTGCAAATTATTCCAGAGTAGGAATAAATTTCCTAAAATTTCCTTCGAGATTTATAAAGTATCCATCCATCCATCCATCCATCCATCCATCCTGGTGCTGGGCACAGCTATGCAGTCGATGTGTCACAAAGAGCAATATGCTCATTGGGCACATTATTGGTTTGTAGTATTTTCTGGTAAATACGCTATTTTTTATTACACAGAAATGTGCAGAAAGAGGAGCGCTCACTCCTGGCCAAGGAGTACTCTGAGTACAAGCACATTAAAGCCAAGCTCAAGCTCCTGGAAGTTCTGATCAGCAAGAAGGACTCGTCTGTGTTTCTCTAAAGCTGGAGGGCAAACCTCCTGATATGATCTCTCTTTTGTGGTGACTGAGTAAGGTCCACCATGGACCTCAGCACCTTTGCGGGCCGAGGATAAGGCATGCAGAAAGCACCTGAGCACCTGAAATGAAATCTCTTTTGTGGTGACTGAGTAAGGTCCACCATGGACCTCAGCATCTTTGCGGGCCGAGGATAAGGCATGCAGAAAGCACCTGAGCACCTGAAATTATCTCTCTTTTGTGGTGACTGAGTAAGGTCCACCAATGACTTGGGGATCTGCAATATTCCAATGTCATGTTGACAGGATATTGATCATTGATCATTGATCATTGACTGTTTCATCACATTCATTTCAGTTCTATTTCATTTGAATAGCGCATTTTCACATTGCATTGTTACAAAGTGCTTTACATTATCCCCGCCCAACACTCCTAGAGAGTAAGCCAGAGGTGACAGTGGCAAGGAAAACTCCACTAGAAGGAAGAAACCTTGGGAAGAACCAGATTCATATGGGGAGCCCGTCCTCCAGGGGGCAGCAGAGGAAGCCCTAACCCT